TATAATTGCACAGATCCATTTCACTTTAAAGATTAGCCTGTAGTGCCAAAAGCAGATGGGTTCAAGACAATCATGCACAGGCGGATGAGCAAAACGGTGCTTTCTTTGCTATTTCTTTAGCCATTTCTCAGTACTTTCTGTCAGCAATCAATTACCTATCAAAAAGGCGTATTATACTTGTTAGTAATAAAAAGTCATGTAAAAATATTTGAATTGTCTTATATTGTAGACAGAAGATCGAGCCTGAACTAGCAGTAAATAATGGCAGGATTTCCTATAGGTCAGTAAATTCTCTTTGTCTTTGAAGTATGACTTCTATTCATAATAAATATGACTTTTCTGTGTGAAATAGTTTCTCAAATGTATTTATTTATTTTTATTTTTTTCTTGCAGGTTTCAGTGGAAAACAGAAGGCCTTTTCATGTGCAGCGCAACTGGGCTAGTGTTTGGATTGAAAGGAAGTGGATGTGTAGAGTACAGTGTGGCTCACTGGGAGATGTGTCACCTCATCAACACTCACTATGAGCCTGCTGGACCTCTGTTTGATATCAAAACCCCTACAGGAGAAATCTATGAGCTTCACCTTCCACACTGTGAGACAAACGATAAATGATAAAGCATGTTAATGAATGGATACCCTATCTATAATGTTACTAGTAGCCTACATATTATGAATATTCTAATTATTGTATACAGTACAGTATTGAAATAATTGTTAGGAAATCAGCTCATATCAGTTCAGTTTCATCATCATTCATGATGTTAGCCTTCTCAGCTCAGTTCTACAATCTGAGCTGTCTCTATGGTGATTCTGAAGTCTGTATCTGAAATGGAATCTTTTAAGTAACTGATTCTTTGTAAACATTCTTTGTGGGCGTTGATGCTACATAAATGGCTCCTCACAAAACTCTAAAAAGACTTGACTAATGCTCAGAGTTTAATTAGAAATTCATAGGACACAAATATTTAGTAATATTGCATATTATTTTACATTTAGATGGGATGATTTTCTATTGGCAATTTTCAGTATTGAATAACATAGCATTAACAGTATGTCAACTCCACACTAAGGAGGCCTTGAAGAACAGCTCACAATAATATTCATCTTATTTTGCCATCAAAAGAGGGTTTCATGGCTTAAAGTCTAGTTTTTGTCAAATAAAAAAGTTGCTGTAAAATATATCTTCATGCGCAGAAAAACTGTATTTAAAAATATTAAAGGGGTCATATGATGCGATTTCAAGTTTTCCTTTCTCTTTGGAGTGTTACAAGCTGATTGTGCATAGATAAGATCCCTGAAGTTGCAAAGACTAAAGTCTCAAAACCAAAGAGATATACTTTATCAAAGTTAAGACTCTGCCACGCCCCCCTAAAACGGCTCGTTCTAACACGCCCCCACATATCTACCTCACTATGTGGAAATATTTGCATAATGCCGCCCAAATGTGCACACAAAGAAAGAAGGCGTGGTTTCAGTAACCGCAGTTAGTGTTGAAGCAGCCATGTCAGGGAGACGCTGTGTGTTTCTAGGCGAAAGCAAAAGCACTTTATTTGGCCTTCCGAAAGTAGATGCATTTAGGAATCTTTAAGATCACTTACAACAGAACAGCAATGCATTTTATGAACGACCGTTTCGTGAACCTAGGAGAAGAGGTAATTC